AGAGTGTGCGTGTAAACTGTTTTTGAACTGGAACAGAGAGAACTGTCCTTTCCCTAAAATTTCTGTACGGTTTCCTCTTCCATAATTCAGTAAAGGCCTTCTTCCAACATTTCCGTTCCCTATGTAGGAAAACATTTACTATGTTGTTTCACATGCTTTTTGCCACATGGATCAGTCAGCTGATTGAAGGTGTGGCTGCCCAGTCAGTATATTTTGACAAATGGAGCATTCCTGAGTGATAATGCTCTTCTTTCTACACAGAGACTGATCTCTGATGTTCAAAGATGCCCTATGATAAAGTTTGCTGTAGGACTGCCTTGCATTAATATTAGTCTACAGGTAAAGGTAAAGGTTCCCTTGCTCGAAAGCCAGTCGAATCCGACTCTAGGGTTGCGGTGCTCATCTCCGTTTCAAAGCCGAAGAGCCAGCGCTGTCTACAAGTTAGTATAAAAGTCTACAAGTTAGTATATATAGTCTACAAGTTAGGTATAAAATCTCGTTTTGTGTCTTGACCCAGTTGTCTGGACTGGAGGAAGACTCTGCAGTAGCTTGAGTAGTAACAAGAGATCACTTTGTGAGCAAAGGTCACAAACAGGGTTCCCTCTAGGCTGAGTTAGTGTGAGCTAGCTCACAGTTTTTTAGCCTCCGGCTCACACATTTTTGTCTCAGCTCAGGAAGGATGGCTCCAGAGAAAACTAATTTATCCAGTAGCCAATTTCTTGCTCACAACCTTAAAGCCAGCAGCTCAGAAAGTAGAATTTTTGCTCACAAGGCTCCACAGCTTAGAGGGAACATTGGTCACAAATCACTCAACCAAAATAGGCACAGAATGGGAAGGGGGGGGGGAGAAAAATCCCCCTGAATTTTAGAAACGATAAGAGGACATTCTTATGGATCAGAAACTGGAGATGGCATGCTTCCCCCACCCCCCCAAAACATTGTCTTAGTTTATGCCACTGGTGAACAGGCTTGAACTATTGCAGAGTAGTTCATTTATTATTACTTTGCTTTAAATTTGTTAGAAAGTGTTATAATCTGAATACTGGAGTTCAGTGTGTATGATTTCTCACAGTGAGCTGAAAATACTTGTGTTGCTGACTTCCTTCTAGTATTTTCTGTTCCAAAAGGGAATTTCCCCACAGTGTCAGTTAAATCTTTCCACTCTTCCAGAATGAGGCAGCAGACAGCATGATGGGAAGAGAGACTGGGTTCTCCTCTGATGAAGAAGGACCAAGCTCAGAGACCCTAGCTGGGGACATGGCTGTTGCTTGGCCCCAAAATCGGCAAGTGGAGAAACAGAGTGGAGGAGAAAAAAGAAACAGAAAGAGTCAGAGGGAGAAGAAAGGAGAAGCAAAGCATTTGTTCCCATTTGAGAAGCTGTGACCAGGAGTTGACGTTGGGCCTTTGTTGAAACCCATGGTGCCAAGGGAAAGCAATATGTGGTGTCTTTCAAACCAGCCTGTACTTTCAGGCTTGACAAATTACATGTTTATATTAGCTGCAAACTGGAGACTTGGACTTGTGTCAATATATAAATAGAGCAATATTTGCATATTAAAATATTTGAAATACTTTAGGTGATAAATCAGGGAATGAGTAAGAACTACTATAAGTCTAGGCCACGAAATGGACACTTTCGCCCACAATGTAGTTCTAAATAGGAATGGTGTTGAAAAACTTTGGGTCACATGTTTTATTCTCACCTTTTAAGACCTTTTTAAGTCTTCTAGTTTTATTTGTGGGGTTATGAGGTGTAGGTGACAACAGCAAAAAAAAAAAAAAGTATAGTTTTATTAGATGAGTCCAGTCTTTTAAGAGAAACCCTTGCAGACTTCCTTTAGCCATTGAATTTTCTTGTAATTTCTCATTTCCTAGCTTCCCTTTCATGGTCATTTGCTGCCCTTATCTTTTGCTTTGGTTTGTTCTGAAGTGAAGCAGCTGCAGAAGAGGCCCAAAGATGTCACAATTAGCTTGAAGGTAGTGGAAGTAAAAATTTTGTACTTGTAAATAGGTAAGAATTTTTTATGGTTTCAGGATGTAGTTTTCTTCCACATTTAGGGCACAGTCCATTTGGATGTTGTTCTACATCAGGTCCATTGAAATAAGATGGCGGCTGTAGGACACCATAGTGTTCTGCTCTTGTACAGATCCTGTTTATTTTGGTAGGGCTGGCACAGGAGCACTTCTCAATGAATCGTGCCCCTACAAGTCTTATTAGCACACAGGGAAAACTTTTTTTTACTGTTAGAAAGTACTATGGGACCATTGGAAAACTTTTAGAGAATGTTTTTCTCTGCTGATGATTTTCTTCTCTGTATCCTCACAAATCTTTACGGGTTATGTTGATAACTTTAGTTAAACTCATGATTCATATTTTAAGCACTGAGCGAATGCAACTGGAATAGGATTTGCTTGCACCCTGCCTTTTCGTATATAATGAAAAGTATACAATTACTTGTGGGCCTTGATTTATGTATACTTTTACTGCAGAAGAAATATTCAAACTCTACTATTATACAGGATTTAAGTACACAGCGTACCTCTTGTAAGATTTTTTAAATGTCCTGCTATTTGGACCTGACTGCAGTTAGCTTTAGCACTTTAAATATGTTCAGAATTATTTTTATATTCAATCCTTGGGCAAAAAAATAAACTCTTTAATAAGATATGTTATACATGTTTCCAGCTTTCTTTCCATTCATGTTAATTGTTGGATGAATGCTGCAAGTGCATAATTGGGAGACTTCAGCAATTGAGACTACATTATTCCCTCTACAATCTCAACATGGCTGGCTTTAATCATGGCTTGAAGACAAAGGGCCACACTGTCCATGCAATCAAATATATTTGTGTACCTAATTGTTAAAGTGTGCTGTATGTAGTGGTTGCAGACATATACTTGAAATGCATCATGAGGCCTTTAGTTACCCTGCCCCCCACATATTCTGGGTTGAACTAGAGGGCTCAAAAGATGTTTCTTCCAGCTTGGACAGACAAGAGTGAATAATTCTTTGGTACCACATTCCTGACATCCCTGTGAATTTAGCCTGGATTATGAAACACTTGTACTTTAAATCCTATAAATGCATAGGAAACCAGGTTTGGGGGGGGGGCAGTTAATTTGGTGGATTATTTTGACTGGATGTTGTGATCAGCTCTTCAAAGAAATTTCAAGTATTTTCACAAAAACTTAAAATTTTGATGCAAAATGCAATACCTATTAAACATTGTGTCACATGAATTACTACAATCCCTTTTCATGCAGGCTATAAACCTTCCAGTTTCCGGGAACATCATGCCTTGGGTCCTATGACATTGGTCCCTTCAGGCTTCTCCAGGCACTGGTGGAGGCTTTTGTCTGCACTAGATCTTACTTCTGATGTTACCAACACTTCCACATGCAGAAGGGCTCCATGAAGATTGGTCTTGTGCCTGCAGAAATACTAGCATCAGGAGAAGAGAGTGGTACAGCAAAGGCCAGCCTCCGCAGGAGCCGGTGATAAGCACAGGGGGGGAACAATGTCACAGGAACCAAGCCTGTGCTGGCACTGTGCAAGGTCAGGAAGAGCATGCATTCATTATGAAAAAAAGTTTATAGATAAAGACTTGGGAATGCGTTTCCATCAGTATGCTACTGGAACGAGTCTGCAGATCCTTCCTGTGCTGGCACTGTCTGAGTTTCAGGAGATGTAATGGAACTAATATGGAAAGGAGGTACTCTGAAAACTCCTTCAGAGCCAGTGGTTAGACAGTGCAATAGGAGACACTCAGGTAATGGCTGGATTGGTATTGGAGGTCCATCAGTGGCTATTAGCGACAAGGTATAGATAGGAACTCTCAGTCTGGGGCAAGTGATGCACTCTATTCTTGGTGCTGGGGGGGCAACAGTGGGAGGGCTCCTAGTGTCCTGGCCCCACTGCTGGACCTCCTGATGGCACCTGGCATTTTTGGCCACTGTGTGACAGAGTGTTGGACTGGATGGGCCACTGGCCTGATCCAACACTGGCTTCTCTTATGTTCATATGTATCCTTAACAGTGAACACTGGGGGGGGGGGGGGAGAGAAATCAACATTACCACCATTTATGAAGCTTTATTAAAAATACAGAGGTTTGGTGCTTCCATTAATAGAAAACAGGAGTTTCAAAAGTTACTACTGAAAAATATTGAGAAGGGACATTTTTCACTTTAAGCATGAAAAGTCACATTCAGTTGAACTCACAGAACCTTAAATTGTAGCCGAGGCTGGCCCAGTTGTAGGGGTTTAGATATAATCTATCATAGCTGCAAGGATATGAGAACAACATATTTTACATTAACTTTAAAATTAGCCTAGCTTACCTTTTTGAATACAGTGGATGAAAGCATTTTTTTTTAAAGTATGGAATAGGGATTAAACTGTTGGGACGAGGATGATCCAGGTTCAAATCCTTACTCTGCCATGAAGCTCATAAGGTGACCATGGGCAAGTCGCACACTCTACTCATATCTGACAAAGGGAGCTCTGACTCTTGAAAGCTTATACCATGAAACTCTTGTTGGTCTCTAAGATGCTACTGGACTTTAGTCTAAACCCTCAGCTTAATCTCATAGGGTTCCTCTGAAGATCAAATGGAAGGAGGGGAAGAGTTATGTATGCTGCCATTAGTTCCTCAGGATAGTGATGGATGTACAGGACAGTAGCTGCATCCACACAGAAACATCTCTTTTAATTTATTGCAGTTAATAATGATTTACGTGCCCTCCTGCTAAGAGAGCATTTCAGCTTATTGCAGACCTGTAGAGCTGACAGAGTCCAGTTTCTCTTACTGCTGCTTATGTACATCCATTATAAAGTAATAGTCTGAGAAGTCTTAATTTCTTCACCAGGCATTAAGATGACGATTACAGAAACAAAATCGAAATTAGCATCTACAATCATTCCACCCCCCAGGCACTGTAAATGGACAAAACTCATATTTGCTTAGAATCTGCATACACATTTCAGCTCAGTGGTAACAGTAAAGAAACACACCAGAGTCATTAAGCACCTTGACAAGGCAACAGCAATAATCTTCACAATGCTGAAAGTTTTAAATTGAGGGTAACTTAAATGCACAAGCAAGACAGAAATAAAAAGGACTATGACCAAAGTAGCGAGAAACAAAATAAAATGCAGGGTTGGATATATATATTTTTAGAAGAGACAAGAGGAAAAAGGCACACAAATCCAAATTAATATAAAAACTTAACACACACACACACTGTTTTGAAACCTCTCCTAGTCCCCATCAAGGCTACACTCCACCTGTCCTCTTATGAGGACTGGCAGATACTTTTAACGATACTGCCACTTAAATGTAGCAGTTATGTGCTCAAAAACGGCCATATCTCAAGTTTCAGCAGCTTGGTATAAAAACAAGCTCTTTTCAGTTGATTACACAATAAAAAACTGTACAAATATTTATGCATCTAGGTCCACTATAAAATCTTTGGTATTGTCTGTATGGCATTGTCAAGTTTTGTTTCAAACACACAGAGTGGACACTGATAATGGCTTCAAACAGGATAGATGCTCTGGATGTGTAATGGTTGCAAACAGAGGCACATTCCTCACCCTGTTACTGCTGCTTCTTGGGCGGAACCCGGGACCTCGCAATCACAATGGGAACTGCCGCCAGCAACCCAATCAGTATTGCCCAGAGTGGCCGGTAGAAGAACCACCCTACGGAAATAGTTAGCAGGGATAAAGACGTGGCCAAGCAGAAGGCAAATGCTTTCAGGCCAATGTTTACCAGCTCCCGGACTACTGGAAACCAATCCACTGTAGCAGAGAGAAAAAACATAAGATATGAAGCATCAGCTAGCTTGTGTCAAATCAAAAGTAGTTAGCAATTAAAATACAGTGAAAGTGGCATTAACAGGCACTAATAGGGAACTGAGGTGGCTGGTTAACCAAACATGCCAGTTACCCAAGTGGGGACCCACTGCCTGCTCTTCCACAGCTTGAGAGCTTGCAGAGAATCCTGATGAGTTCCAGAGCATGGGCAACAGTGCAGGTGGTACCCATGGCCAGAACATGCAGTTTCCTCCATACAACCAGTCAGCTACCCACTAGGGGAGCAAGGAACCTTAGCAGTGGGATCCAGGCCACAGGTACTGCCCACAAAGTAGTGGCACCCATGGCTGAGACCTGGAGCCCATTCCACCACTGCCTGCTCTCCCTTGAATATGCCAGTTACGACACTACAGCCTTCACCGTATATATATATATCCCACTTTTACATCCATTGAAAAGGCTCAAGGCAGCTTACACAAAGCACATCCCAAAGAGGCATACAGATAATAAAACCATTTAAAAAGTTTAACAAACAATATACACAGGATATTATAAACAGCAGACAGACACACATGTCCACGCTCCAACACTGACCAAAAAGCTTTTCTATATAACTGTCTTATGGGACTTCCTGAAGGCCAACAGAGAAGGTGACTTTCCAACCTCTTCTGGAAGTTCCATTTTAACACCCACCCACCCCCGTTGCTGAAAAGACCCATGAACAGGAATTTTCACAACTCTAGGAGATGGGATGGCCATTATGGGCTGTTGGGAAAAAAGAACCCGTAGAATCCAACCCAACATCCACTTATTTCATTATAGTCCTTCTCCTCCATATTCTTACCATTATATTAACCAATCATCAGACCTTTCCTACTCTCCCATTAGGCACTGATCCGAGCACTGAAGAGCCAGTGTGGTACAGTGGTCACAGTTATAGGACTAGGATTCCCATCTCCACACAGCCACAAAATTCACAGGATTACCTTGGACTAATTACCATCTCTCTGCCCTTCCTATCTCACAAGCTTAGTAGGAGAACAAAACAGAATGATGCTATATACCGCATCCTAAATTCCTTAGAGGAAAGGCAAAATACTAATGCAATTAAAATAATTCCCAGCAAGCTCGGAAATTGAGGGAGAGACTTGGTGAAACTTAAATGCTTCAATTTAAGGTCTGAAAAAAATTCTGGGGACAATAGAGCAGGACTAAGCATATTCACAGAGCACACTGCAAAATGCTGGCTTTTATTCAATGTATGAGTTTTAGCATGCTGTACATTCTCTTGATTTGTAGGGCCACTATGTCACCTCAGTTCTATGTTAAAGCATTTCCACATCTACCTTCATTCTAGTTTCCCATGTCTCAATAAGCTGTTTTATAAATCAATGCAATGACAGATAACATCCCAGCTTTGTCCCCTGACTCCTGAGCATCAGCCAAAAAATATGAGAAGGGGAGGATTGGTTTGGAATTTCTCAGTCAAGGAAGAGTTGAAATCTAGGGCCTAGATCTATATAGCATTATACTGATTATAGGGTATTATAGAGTATTGTGTTCAGTTTTGGGCACCACAATTTAAGAAGAATACAGACAAACTGGAACGTATCCAGATAAGGGCAACAAAGATGGTGAGGGGTCTGGAGACCAAGTCCTATGAGGAAAGGTTGAAGGAACTGGGTATGTTTAGTCTGGAGAGGAGATGATTGAGAAATGATATGATAACCATCTTCAAGTACTTGAAGGGCTGTCATATAGAGGATGGTATGGAGTTGTTTTCTGTTGCTGCAGAAGGTTGGACCAGAACCAGTGGGTTGAAATTAAATCAGAAGAGTTTTCGGCTAAACATAAGGAAGAACTTCCTGATGGAGTGGTTCCTCAGTGGAACAGGCTTCCTCAGGAGGTGGTGGGCTCTCCTTCTTTGGAGGTTTTCAAATAGAGGCTAGATGGCCATCTGACAGCAATGCTGATTTTGTGAACTGAGGCAGATCATGAGAGGGAGAGCATGAAGAGTTGCCTCAGTGCTTAGTTCTTGTGGCCCTTTCTTACATGCCCAGGGAAAGCTGATCGCCACATTAGGGTCAATGTTAAATTGTGGGTTCCATGGATGAGCAGGTTCGAGTCCAGTAATCAGCTCAACTTTGTGATTTCAGCAAGAGCAAGACAAGACCCCAGAGCCTCAGCTCTGTTAAATAGCATGCAATTGCCACACCCAAACACACCCCACTCCCAGTGATAGGCTATTTACATAACATTACTACTAGACTGGTTACTTTCAGAGTCCTGGTGGACTATTGTTCTTGTGCTCCAAGCTCAGCCAGTCTCTGGTGTGACATACCTAGAATGGTTCAGTCCCAATACATAACAGTCAAGAAGCAATTTTTCTCCAAGATCCTGGAGATTTTTTAAATTTCATCTTCTGGGCATGGAATAGCGGTCACTGAGGGTGTGGAGGAGGAGGTATTTGTGAATTTCCTGCATTGTGCAGGGGGTTGGACTAGATGACCCTGGAGGTCCCTTCCAACTCTATGATTCTATGATACTTCAAGCAATATTCACTCTTCATAAAGCAAAGTTGCTTGATCCAAGATCATGATGTTTTTATTTATAAAATGAAACTAGGCTGCTATCAGCAAACTTACCCAGGGTGTAAAAAATTCTCATCATAAGGTTGATGCCTACAAACATAGCCAGCCAGCCAGCCCCACGGAGACCCCAAGTCTTCATGCTGTTACTCGCATGCTCCTTCTGGAACACCTCCTAAAATGTGAGCACATCTGATCATACACCTTGCTATCCTATATGCATTCAACTCATCTGTATATCTATCCGTATATATGCAGCAATGGCCTCCAATTGGGGGGGGGGGGGAACGGAGACAGGACACATAACCAGCAAGAAAAGGGCTGTCACAGGCCCTGGAGCCAATCACAGAATTTTGGGAGATTTCAAGCCAAACAAGGAGATGACTATTTACAAATGGATGCCCCCTGGATCTCCTGCTCCAGGAAGGTGGAAGAAAGCCAAGGTTGGCTCTTTACTTTAGGAAAGAAGGAAGCAGTTGCAAAGCAGGCACGACATTGGGGATCACTGCAGTAGCTTAACTAATTATATCAGCTGGAGGAATCAGCATATGGAGACTTTGAGCCAGCCCAGAGGATTGAATTGCCCGTGCAGAACCTCTAGGATAATCCCACATTAACAGCTGCATTGGATGCATGAACAATTTTTGTACTGAACACCCTAATGAAGAGTTCTAAAGAACTTAAACTTGCTATTTTGTGATATTTTGGCTAGCCTAAATAAAGACTTCTCCTGCTTACCCAGCATCTTGAGTATTTAATATGACGTTTATTTTTAACACATCTCAGTGGTGGTGGGGGGACCTATACAAATTACAGCCACAAACAAGTTAGGACTAGTCTCTAAATTAAAATGGCCGGTTTCTCAGAATCTCATGAGCTTCAAGAATGATATTTTAAAACGTAAAAATAAAATAGCTGCATTGCAGTGCCTGCCTTTGTCACACACTACAAAACAACATTCCATTAAACTGATCTATATTGCTAAATTATACCACTGCTCCTCTGGAGCAAGGCGTGAGATAATCCCTCTGTGGAATCAACCTGCCAGGGACTGACTGACTGGGGCTGCCCAAGCATGTAAGGACACTCCCACTCAGCTGTACCTCAGAGCCCAGTGCACACAAGGCTTCATAAATAGAGTGGGATTTATTCAGGGCGGGGCAGCTATTTCTTGCTTGTTCCATGGGCCTAGTGGAAAGTATGACCTTTAAAGATGTGGGAAATGATCTGGGTAGAGTGAAGGAAAGAGACAATGGATAAGAGATATTGGTAGTGTAGAAAGCAGAGAACAGAACACTTACACATGACAAAGATGCAAATTTAGAAAGTCACAGACATTTATATAACCCGCTGTATTAGAGCTACACTTTACTATTTCTTTAGCCTAAAAATCAGTAGGCAAGTCTTTTTACAGAGAGAAAAAAAAGGCAGAATTGGTTTCTGATAATGAGCCACAGCAGAACTGGAGACTGATAATCCTAGAGATTCTCCTGCAATGTGAATTTCCTTCATATACCACTCTTCAAATTTCAAGAAATGCTGGAGGAGTGATTTATGCTTTGTAAGTAATTCCTATGGTGTAGAAAGGACCACAACACATGCCTCCAATTCAAGCAAATGACAGTTATGCCAGAAGTCAAAGAGAAGACTAATGTTCTTCAATATTAGCGAGGCAACAATTTGCAGGGACACTCCTATACATAGCCTCCCTGTGCTCTAGCCAAATACTTCTGCTTTGTATTTGCTGGCATGGGATGATTCAACCCACTAATAAGGTTGTTAGTTTATAAACCTATACCTTTAAAAAGATCTGATGTAGTGAGAGAGGTTATGGCCAACGCACTTCCTGGTTCACTGCTGTGGTAGTCTAAGAGAGGCAGTGCTGTACAGTGGGCCAAAGAGAACAAGACAGAAGTGAAAGAGAGAGACAGAGAGAGGAAGGAAGGAAGGAAGGAAGGAAGGAAGGAAGGAAGGAAGGAAGGAAGGAAGGAAGGAAGGAAGGAAGGAAGCTCTATCTACAAGTGGAGCATAGGGATTAATTATGAACTTGTTACGCTATACAAAGTAGGTGTAAGAAGAATTCCATTCTTCTTATTCTTCCTATGTGTAAGAGGTGACCTACTCTTACAATGTACTTTGCTCTCCAGTAACAGATGAAACAGTTTTCCTAGGAGAATGGGATGAAATTAATTTGTCTGTATTGTCTTTTATCTGCCTATTTAGATCTTTTCTTTCACTGGTCTCCTCTATAATGATCATGAACTCTTACCTCAGCAGAGAGCTCATCAGGATAAAGAATCTCCAGAACATCACCAGATTTGGTTTTGTATGAAACCAAGTGGTCCCCTCGTTGCCGAGCAATTACTGTCACCTAAAAATCAGCCCAATTGACAAGATTAACACAGATTTAGAGTCTCACACGTTATAATCTGTGGAATGTTACTGCTTTAGAGAGAAGATTTACCGTATCTGCTGGACCCAAATGGGATGAGTCTCCACTCAAACCAGAATAAAAGAAGGAAACACGAAGGTCTCCAACCTGAAAAAGGTAGGGGAAAAGGTTAAAAAAGGTGACAACAGAAACTTCCCAGTGGTGATTTTGTGTACAGATTTCCTGTATTCTCTGTGCTAATGCTATTCCTATGTCTTAAGAGAGACTCACAGAAGACCCTTCCAACTTTGTCAGAGTGCAGAACTTTGGAATCAGCACACTTCAGTCCCTGCAAGCTGTGGATTATTACATCTGTGTGGGAAACTCTACTGATAGGGCAGTCAGAACAAATTCAGTGAGAAACATTATTTACACCTATACCAGACCATTACTATTCCCATTTTACAGACAGTGAACTGAAGCTGAGACACATCCGAAGAGCCAAGCCATCCGAGGAGTACATTACTGGGCACAAAACCCAAGTATTTCAAGTCAAGGTTTGTCAGTACACCCACAGTGACTGTCATTTTAGATACTAGTAAGGTCATGTGGTCCTTCTTAAACAAAGAAGAACTATGAAACTATCATTCTGTTCTTAGCTCACTGCTATTCGGAATGCCAATCCAGACAGATTACTTAGATGAAAAGGAAATATACATGATTCTCAGTTTCTTTTCATGTACTGGTTTATGAAGACTGATCGCATGATAGCCATTTTTGGAACATGATAATCGTGCATATCAATACAATAACAGGGTACCTTATTCCAAATAAGACGGAATTATTGCTATTATCTTTCTGGGGAAATTGTGATCTACTCAATATGAAAAAAATACTTCTTGACTTTTTGCTGGCAGCAGCTAGAGCCTGTATAGCCATTAAATGGAAAAATAACTTACCTCCTTCAACTATGGTATGACAAGATCTGGCAACTCTATGTAATGGAAAAGATTGCTTATAAGAATATGCTAAATGACAATGCAAAGCAAAAAGCTAATTTTCCAGCGATTTGGTATCCATTTTTGGAGTTTATGTCAACTAATGGTAATGTACCAAAAAGTGCCTATCCAATAGACCTGTTACAATTGTGAAGCCTAAGTGACCTTTGTTTTCTTGGTATGTACATGTTGTAGCACGACAATTACCCTAACCAACTGTTAATTGAACTGATATGCACCATGATGGAATTATTTGTTTGCATTTTTTCTTTGTTAAAAATGTTCAATAAAAAAAGTAAAAACAAGGAAAGAGGATGACACAAGGACCTATTTCAGTGTGATGCTGTTTCCATTTAATGGGACATGAAGGGTATCCAGCATGTTACTGTCACCAGCTGCTTACTTGCCCTGCCCCTTGGCTTTTAAGAACAGCACGACACACAGAACTAAGCAGGTGAGGCTTTTGATGGAAAAGCGCTTACTGAATTTCCCTTAATGGTGCAAGAGCAAGACCAGTTAAAAAAGGATGCAACCTGATCAACACAACTGGCTTAGGAAGACAGTGGACTTATTGTTGATTTTTGCCAGTGTATACTTACTTCTGGACGTCGAGGATTCTCACTGTGAAAGAAGTAATCCCCTGAGCGGATCACATCAGCATGTGGATCTTCCAGTTTTGACAAGCTCATCTGTTTGAAGTTATCGATCTTCTCAATGAGGCCTAGGAAGGACTAAAGCATTAACTCTGTTCTATGCACAGCACAAGACACTTAACTACAAGAGTCCATTCAGACAATCTGGGTTATTATGTACTATTTGCTTTGCAAGGGTTCAGTGAAACTGGAAAATAAAGACTGCCTGACTTTAAAGTGACACATTTCCTTTCAGTTCTTCCAAGATTCCCCAGCTGTGGGGTAATCTTAACCCCCCCCCCCCCCAAAGAAAAACTTTACCTTTGGAAAGAAAAAAATTGCCCACTTGGACGTCAGGAGCAACTGCAGTGAAAGATTCAACAGCCATGGCACTGCAGGGACAAAAGGAATGGCAAGATGAATTCCAGCATGGTGGACCCAAAGGCACGGAAAGAGACAAAGGTAATTAAGGCTTCTCTCTTATGAAACATTTCTGGCTTATCCAAAGAAAGCCAAGGTCCTTCCCTTGTCCCTAGTAAAGAAACCAGCAAGGGAGCCTACATAAGTGCACCTGCTGTGGGGTTCATAAACTCTTCTTGTTGCAGAATAGTTAGCAAAGTGAAATGCACTGAAGGATTCAGTCAATCGGAAAAAAAATCCTTCTGTGAAATGACTCATACAATGCAGAGTCAGAAGAACAGATTGGGAAGAAGTTCATTTGAACACATAAGATTTACCTGGGGTTTTTATGGGCAATTTCTCGATCAAAGTTTCTGCTGTTCACAACTTCTGATTTCCATTCAGTATCTAAGGGGAAACAAGTGATATAGATCAAAAAAGAAAAACTGGAACTCTAGTTTCAAAACATTCTTCTCGGTTTCCACAGGTCATGTAATATACACAGTACAACGATCACTTGCATGCTGAAGAAGTGTCCCTTAGAAAAGGTCCTGAAGTAGAGGTTCACAGGGGTAGGAGCAAAACATGATATCATCAATGGAGGATGAGGTACAGGAACAAGCCAATAAAAACCAAATAATAAGGCAGCATCTTCCCCATGTTGTGAAGGGCAACAGAATATCTGAACCTCCACAAGCCATCTCTTATTTAATTTTCTGAAATAGCAGAGGCTTCTTCACCATGCTCTTTGAAGAAATGAATCCCAGGAAGCCTCAAGGTAACTTGCACACTACTCAGGTAGACACAGGTATGCTTGAAGAAGGGTTCAACAAGATTCAGTGCCCTTCTAAATACCACTGACTGTTCCTGAGAATTACACGCAGTCCATCCTGAGCTTCTTGAAAGAAGTGCAGAGTACAAACATCATCAATAAATGTTCCAAAGCCATTTTAAATCCACAATGCAGAAGATTCTGTACTTCCAAACAGCTGCAGGGCAGGCAAAAATGGAACAGATGCAACACTCACAAGCACTAGCCTCGAAAACTGCCCAAAGCAATGCAAGAAGTGATTGTGAGAGGAGCTCCTGAAATCACACAGCTCTCACTGACAACCCTAGCAGAAGAATTTCAGTGCTGTTTTACTTACTATACGAGTATCTTGTTTCTTTCTTAAGCTCGCCATTCTCTTCATAATCCCTACAGGCAGGAGGAAGAAAGGACAGAACACGCACTGAAGTATGTCCTGTGAGAAGTCCATGATGCCCCACACAACTTTGCATTTTTATGCATACTAGGCCAAATATTAGCTAAGGCCAATATGAGAGTTTAGCTAATCTAATTAACTTATTGACCGTTAAGGAATGGCCAATAGTGCTGCTTCTGTGAGGTGAGGGTAAGCTTTGCTTTGATTGGGGGGGGGAACCTTTACACAATAGGGTTTAATGTTGTCAAGACTGAGGGGAAGGCAGCATCGAGGAATCGAGGAGGCTGCAGGCAAGGAAGCCAAACGAGAAGAGCTGAAGGACACAACAGGGCAGGAATAGGGGACACGAGGGAAGGATCTGAGGAGCAAAAAAAGAGAAAAAAATAATGGAAAGAAGATAATTGTGGAAATGCAAGGACTAAGGATGGCTTTGCATGCTATAGCTCCACAGTAAAGCTGTGTGAAAGTAGACTAGAATTTCAACACATCAGGGCAATCCCTAATTAAATTCCTATGTAGTACAGCTTGAAAGAACATGTCCCAAATATCAAAATCCAATTACATGTTGGTTGCATGGACAAATACTGGGATCTGAGGTCTTGATTTAATGTCAAAGGCACACAGAACATCCATTTCCACAAGTGGCCAGATAAAGTTCTCCCCAAACTTCATACTTCTTGAATCTTGATCACTCTCAAATCTGCACTGACAGCCTGACTTTTGAGTGGAGTATTCAGTAAAACAGCCTCAAATTTGGTGTGACACAGACATGCAGGCAAGATGCCCATATCTATGCCACTTGGCTGTAACCCATTTGGCACATTGCTCACACAAGACAAGGTTGGAAGAGGAGCTGCAGGCCTAGACACAAGGCATAAAAGATTTTTTCCCACCAGATCTCAGTTCCTCAGACTTTCCACTCTTGAAGCCAGCTATAAACAAGTGACTCATAGCCGTGTGTTCATTTGTTTTTTATAGCTTTGAAACACCAGTCACCATTAAAAAAAACAACAGCAACCTGATACCAAAAAAGAGACTATATCAAACTATTGTTACAGCCATGCCCCAAGGGTACAGCATTGCTGCATACTGATGAATATAGGAGCCTTCTCTTAATATCCAGTTCAATTAGAAGAAGAGAAGAGATTGGATTTATACCCCGCCCTTCACTTGGAGTCTCAGAGCAGCTTACAAACTCCTTTCCCTTCCCCTCCCCACAACAGACACCCTGTAAGGTGGGTGGGGCTGAGAGAACTCTGACACAAAAATTCTCTGATACAAAAATTCTCTCATACAACATACTTTATGGCAAAATGAATGTTCATAAGAGTACAGCTTACTTGGATTCTTCATATTCTACCCACTGATACATTTCCACATGACGTTTAAGCTTGACAGCCCGGATGGAAAGCCCATAGCTGGGATCATACAAAGGCTAGAAGATATAATGGAAATTTACATCAGCAGAAGGTTCTGTACCTTAGAAGGACTTACACAAGGACACTGAAAAGAAGGACACCCTTTAAATCTGTGGTGTACTCATGTCCATGATACTATTTTAAATATTTATAACCCGCACAATTTATTTTAAAAAATCCTAACAACAAAACAATAAAACCATGTTATTAACATCTAACATGATAAAATCAGCAACATAAATAAGCCAATTAGAGCCAGGGCCCTTTAGGTCCAGAAATCTATTTGGGTGGCCAGCTGTTAAGGCCCGCCACAAATAATGAACTGTGCTCCAATGTTTTCTGCCAGTTTTCTGCAGAGTAGGATGCTTAGAAAAGCAAACCAGCTAGAGTCCTAGCTAGTGCTGGTATCCAAAGTAAACAGCCATGACCACCCTTATCATAATCAGTTCCATCCAATCTCTTGCAAGGACCACTGGCCAAAAGCCTGGTAACAATACATCAAAAATACAGCATCTCTGCCAAACTCTCATGCCACATTGGCCTTGTTTATAAAGGCAACTCTTGAGAACATGAGTCTGTCCAGTAACAAAAAATCCTGATTAATAACAAGGTGGCAGATTCTACTACTTAAATATCACGGATCCTGATGCTGCTATACAGTGTGGTCAGGTAGAAAAACAATTCTTTTGCTGGAATAATGTTGTGACATTGTAATACAGGGACTTGAAAGGCCTTTGGACAAGAGCTTTCATGCAGCTCAGTCATTGCTTGACTTCTCTGACAGCCCAAAACTTTTCACCTGAAGCAGTAATAAGGAGCACCTCCAAAGACATGCAGGGTGTAACCACAGCCAGTTTCAAAGAGAAATGTTGTAAGTCAAATGGCATGACTTTCAGGCATTTAGGCTTATGTTTGGAGAACTAACCTCTTGGGCTCCCATCATAAAACATCTTAGAGAGGCACTGTAAATTTGCAAAGCGGAGCTCCATGACCCAAACCTTAATGCCATACTGTAGCCACTATGGCCTAGAACACTGTGGGAATTCAGCAACAGGCTATGAACAGCTCTGTAGGTCAACTGCCAATCCCAGAGGTTAACTGTGTGTTAACCTTTGGATGTAGTTTGCAGATGCAAATTCACAAATATATACAAACAGCTGGGTTGAAATCAGAAAAGACAAGCCTTGGGGGGGGGGGGGGGGGGGGGGGAAAAGGGGGGGGAGGATCTACAAGAACTGCAACAGCAAAACATTTATTTTTGTCCAGCATTGTCCTTTTCAAAATGTTGTCTACTGAAGCCATGTTGTTTACCTTTGAAGTTCTAAGGGGGCCTGACAGGTGCACAAGTTTGTGGTCATTCTCTTGTAATACACTTTGGATGTTGTCAAGGGGGACCACCAGGGAAAGCCCCTCATTCAGAGAGGTGGCTGTCTTCAAAGCTCGGCCCTACAGGGCAAGGAGAAGAAAAAGAGTACATGGGCAAGAAAACACAAAACCAATGAACACTGCACTGAAAAGGAATGAACAGGAGCTCCCTGTACAACAGAGAAAGACTTTATCTGCAGTGCAATCCACCTCTGCTTGAACTCATAGACATCAATCATCTAACTCTACTGGTAAAAGAAGGTCAAAGAAGGTGCTCTGGGGATAACAACATTCTGAACAATTTGGTGGGTGGAGGCAGCTTTGCAGTTGAATATTTTTGAGGAACGAAATAGAGGACATGGTCATTTGTCAGGATTTCATTGTGGCTGTTCACTGCAGGCCTCCCCGACAGAGTTTATAGCCTCAAATCCAATCCTCTTAAAACTCCTGTATATTCTAGCTCAATGAACCATAGTACCACTATCTTTGCTTGGACATAAGCAAGTTCTGAACATGGGGTGATCCCAGGATTAGCAGACACACACCGTAGGGCTTAGTCCAGAGGTGAGCGCCAAGAACAAATGGAAGCAACGACAGAAGGCTGTAAAATGCAAGGTCAGTCTGCAGGCTGAAGCATCCTCCTCCTCTAGGGAATTGGCTGACAATCTCTTGTCACGCTTTCATAGGCTCACAGAGGAATGTATTTTAAGGAATTATTTATAGACTGTGCTTGCAGAAGTTGGTTAAGTTATAACCTCAACAGATAAGTCTTTTTTTTTTGGTAGAAGCAGAATTGAATACAATTTGGGCTCTGTTAACGTAAGGAGAGTCAGTTCTGCTTTCTGGCACAAAGTTTCCCTGCACTAGGGATTAAGAGCACAAAGCCTCATCCAAGAGATGTCTCAGGAGAGACTTGGTAGTCATATGGGTGGGTACAGCTTAGTCTTGGAGGCACTCTCCAAAAGACAGTTGCCATTTTTGGAAGCACAAAGCCTGGCTGACTAAGGAGCATTGAGTTCTCCTTAATGCTGCAATAATAAAGGTTGGAGGGGGAGAGATCACCAAACCATTCAGGAAATAGCACACACAAATATTTTGAACAAGACGTATCTCCCGTTACCGTTAATCAGTTCTCAGGTAGAATGGATACTCTAAGGGAGAATTATTTGAACACTGTTTCTCACCAAATTTATGGCCAGGAGTCATGTCCATAATTTTGTTAAAATATTTTTAAAAAATATTTATTTATTTATTTATATATAATTTCAATTTATAGCCTGCCCTCCCCGCGACGCGGGCTCAGGGCAGCTCACAGATAGGCATAAGCCAACGCATAAAAACAAGTTAAAACCATATAAAACCATTACTACAGTATTACAACACGTTAAGTGCTCTAGATGTTCCAGAATAATCTTCCATCAAGATGGCGTCTCAAAGATGGTACATCCAATCAATGCTGTCAGTTCCACATGACACTGTCGTTCTCTCTTCACAGGCCCAGTTAGTAATTATGGTAAAATAACGATGGTACGATAATGATGGTATGATAGTGGCAGCTCCTAAAAGGCCTGGTGGAAGAGCTCCGTCTTGCAGGCCCTGCGGAACTGCACAAGGTGCCGCAGGACCCGTATCTCCTCCTGGAGCTAGTTCCACCAGGAAGGAGCCGCCACTGAAAAAGCTCTGGCTCTCTGGCCACCGAAAAAGCAAAATCCATCACAAATTTGACAATCACTTACTGGCTGCAAGCTTGCCTTTTAGCATGCAAGACCAGTAAACAGCAAGCTAGGCCTGTTCCAATGATGGATCTACTAAGTATGCTAGTCTGCTATTTCTGGCCTCTTCATCCTGAAAATGAGTGCACTGTATGGAATGGGATATGAATGCTGTGGGCCATAATGGAAATGCCAAAGGGCCCGAGAAGATCTCAAGCCTTTCTTTTTGATACCCCTAGTAACACATGAAAAAATACCCGAATATCCTTGCACAGCTATCCCCCTACACTTACCTCATTGGTAAACAGAATGTAGAAAGACATTGCAAAAGTGGCAAGCCCAATGAGCATCCCCCCAGACGTCTCACTGAGGCGTTCCAGAAACCCCGGCTTCCGCTCACTTGTGATTTTAACATGTTCCTTCTTGTTGCCTGTGTCGGAAAACTGTTAGAGAGAAACAAGAAGAAACTGAATATTTATGGATTGCATTCTTGTCATAAAATCTCTTCTACACATAAATCCAAAATGGGCGTCTACAAAAGGAATTCTCTACACAAAAGGCTGATCAACTAGAAGGATTGTAGATTCACCTAGTGTTAGCCAGATTGCCTCGAATTATTGATGATCTTAGAGGAATTATGATTTTACATGAGGCAATAGACAAATAAGGGAGCAAGCACCTATGTATACAGGGGTCCCACTTCTTCCAGACACACCAGAAATAGACTCAAAGGCTGGCTTCAGTATAAAATGGTTTTGTTCACTGAAGATATCTCACAAGCATACAGTAATTCAAACACACTCACAATTACACAGATCTAGGAAAATTAGAGAGTAGAGGATAGTACATTTGCATTAGCAGGATAATCACTGAGGGGCAATACTTTACCTGTCCTTGGCGGGATGAAGCAATCCTTAGGAAAAATAAGGGAGACTATGGGGTAATAGGGTCGTGTCCTGAACTGGCAGAGACACGTGGAGACTCTGGCTGCGCAACCAAGAGTCGTTGAGTTAGGATGGGTATAGGAGAGAGCGAGAGAGAGAGCATGGCGGGTTGCCCTCTTTTATGAGGTGGCATGGGTGGGTGGGCTAGGCTGACCACATCCCCTGGCACACCTCCTATTAGTGCATCCCAAAAACATACTGATTGGATCTGGGTTCAAGTGGGAAGGGTCTAAGGGGGGTGGTCAATATTCAGATCTAGTAGTCCTGGGCAAGACAGTGGCACCTGGAGGGATGGTGACTCATGCGGCCAGAGTCATTGTCATGGACATTCCTTGATTGTCTTATGGCGGCTGCTTCAGCTAGGTGAGGCTGGGTGGGGGAAGGGAATGTTGCCTGTGTGCAAGGAAGGAAACTCCGCATGGAGTTTGAATCCTTTGTTTTAGGTCTTCTGCCTTGGCATGGCATCTGTCTGGCTTTCAGTGCTTCATGTTGCTAGGGAGCTGGCCCATCATACAGCAGGTAAGAGGGTAGGTAACCTCTGAAACCATAGGCACATCATCTCACAGGAAGGCTTCCTTCTTCTGGGTGTGTGTGTCTGTAACTGGCATCATTTTTGGGTCACCACACAGTTCAGTCCCTTTTGCACACTACTGGCACAGTCCAAGTCTTATCACTTATGAAACTATAAGTCCATAAGAGCGCTATAAGCGCCTTGCAGGGCAACACTAGCATGTTGGTGGCACTAAAAATGTGTTATAACTAGCAAGGTTGGCAGTTTTTAAGGAAAACAATTAGTCTGGAACAGGACACTGGCACAATTCTTTTTTATTAGGGTTCAGATAGATGACAACCATAACCCGGGGGGGGGGGGGGGAAAAGAAGAAGAAGAGGAAGAGGAGGAAGAATAGATTGGATTTATACTCCACCCTTCAGTACCCAAAGGAATCTCAGAGCGGTTTACAATCCCTTCTCCTCCCCACAGACACCTGGTGAAGTAGGTGGGGCTGAGAGAGCTCTCTTGAGAACTGCCCTTGAAAGAACAGCTCTGAAAGAACTTATGGCTGACCCAAGGTCATACCAGCAGCTGCATATGGAGGAGTGGGGAATCAAACCCGGATTTGCCAGATTACAGTCCACGCTCCTAACCACTACACCAAACTGGACTTCTGCTGGATTCACAATTAATCACTGGCTGTAACATAATAAAGCGAGTGAAGTTAGGAAAGAAAGCCACTATAAAGGATCAAGGCTGCAGTTCCCAGATCACACTGAAGTATTCAGTCCACTAGAGTAGTCACAATGAACTAATTCACATTCTCATTTGGCCAAGGAGTACAGTTGTGTAGTAGCGGGGGAAGGTCAAACATGCCTCCCCCCACTGTGTAGATACAACTCCAGACTTAGGCCTGTTTGCATGGAGGTCCAATTCATATGACTTTTCCCACTCATTAAAAAGGAAGAATGAGAACACTGCACAAGACACCTTTATGCCCCTAAGTGCCCTATGTGCAGTACAAGCACAGAACACTGAATTTGCCCGATGTCCTACATACATAGTGTGCATTCCTCACTCCACCCCCAATGTTCCACTGCAGAAGGACTACTCTAAGTCAAGTGATCTTCTGATTCTGGAAAAAGAGGTCTAAGCATCAAGAATAAAAAAAAAACCCACTTAAAAATGTTAAAATAGGATATAAGAAGTACAGAATGGCCAAGCTGTACATTCAGCAAGATACCCCCTCATCATCCACAGAAGGTACTTCTCAAAATATATTCCGATACAGATGTACAAAGCTACCTTAAGAAAAGGCACAAACACCCTACGCACTCTCCACATTTGAGCACACCAAAGGGTGTGTCTACTCAAAATATTTTCTACAGTTGCTCATGGCAACAGGCTGTGGGGCCAACAGCATTGATGTATACTTGTCTCCCTGGGGAAACACGATCCTGATGTAAAGAAGCTATGCCTAGGCCCACTTGCATGTGTTACTTCAAAACAGTAACAAGAGAATATCTTGGCACCAATTTAGTAATACATTTAAAATTTGGATTAAGCAGGACTGACGCTGCAATCCTAAACACAGTTACTGTCTTGTAAATACAGTGGTACGGAAAGGTATAATTCTGTTTAGGATTGCACTCTGAATGTATTAAATTAAGACTACTGGCAGTTCAGTCTGGCTTTTTCTGCCAAATTCATGTAGACAGAGGCCACTCCACCCCAAACTGCTCTGCTTCCCAGGCAGATGTTCTTTGGGATGTTAACTATTGTTATCACCATACATGGCCTCAAGAATCATTCAAATAAATAAGCATGGTAAAGGCATTTTCACACACATCACTGAACGACTTCTTCTTACACCATTTGTTTTGACACAGATGTTAAGTGTTGTTAATACAGGAGAGCAAGTTGAAGCCCAGTCCTTGTCAAACTAAATGCATACTGTAGCCAAGGTAGGCCACACATTTGCACTGTGCTCAGTGGAAAGCTACTTTTACATAACATATATGAAAACATGAAGAAAACACAAACATGTTCTTTCCAAAAAGGGAACAGTGTGCTAGCTACAACAAAGAAGCAAACAGTCACACATGCATTAGTTTGTGGTATGCAATCTTTCCAAGGCAGCAGTTTACTAAAGACATAAAGGGAACCGACTTGGAAGGATTCATTTCTAATACAGAGCAATGCTTACCATTTTTCTCAGTTTATTCTCAGGTACTGAGACAGCGGGCCACTGCTCACAAGACATTTGTACTTATAAACTAATTAGTCCCATACAGCCCAATACTATTATGCATCTTTTAATTACATTTTTTTTATCCAGCTGTTTCTCCAAGGAACTCAGGGCAGCTTACATGGTAGCCACTTCCATTTTTATTCACACAGCAACAATGTGTGGTAGTCACCCTTTGAGTTCTGTAACTGACTGAACATGTTGCACCAGGTCTCACCAGTCCTAGTCCACTACTACATCACCCCACCGGCACAAATATACAGAATCCCACCGAATTAAGCCCGTGTGTATAGGCTTCGCATGCCACAGCAGCAACTTCTATAGTGTCAGTATCTCTCCCCTCGCCTAAAGGGACTAGAGGAGGACAGAGGCCGCTTTTGAGGAAATAATTCCAGAGTAGGAGCGATGTTGCGATGCTAGTCTGTAGTTGCAAAAATATGCTGCCTGTGGCATCATGAAATCGAACACGTTTTCATTCTAGCATAAACTGTCGCACGCTATTATGGGAACTTTGCAGTACCGCAGAACCGTTCCTCATTCACGTGAAAAGAAGCAGACACTTACGTTTCGAGACATTGCGAGTTTCTGAACCTGCAAAATTCGTCTACGTTCTTAGATGAGGTTTCTTGTACCAGAAAGAAAAGGGCGGCTGTAACACAATTGACAGAATGAATGCAAACTCTTTGCCAAACCGCCCCACCCAGCAGGGGTTAATCCGCCACTCCCAGGAGACTCCGCCCCACCGCAGCCAAGGAGCAGGCTCCACCCCCTGCCTTTTGCAAGCAAGCGGGTAGAGAGCTTCTTTGGAGCATGCTGGGAAATGTAGTCTGCAAATGGGGCGGCTAACGCGGCCTCTCGCAAAGCATTGCTGGGAGTATCATTGGTCAAAGGCGGTGCAGCAGTTATCCTGTCACAAAAGCATGTTGGGAAAACAGGCTGCTAGACGCAAAGCATAGTAGGCTATGTAGTTCTTTCATGAATAACGGCTTAACCGGTCCCGTTTTATCGTTGCTTTTTCTAAGTTCCCGTGATCATTCTGGAAGGAACTGCCGTCTGGGTCGCCGTGTACCCATTTACACGTATCTCTCTTGTGTGCGTGAAACGGGGCAGAGGCGATCAGGCGGCGTCCAGGCTTTTCCTCGGGGTCCTTCCCGCGCCGTTAGGGTGAGAGGTCGCCGCGAGGACGCCTGGAAGCCGAAAGCGTGCGCTCGATTCTGGCGCCAGCTCCGGCGTGGGAAAGAGCAGACGGGTCGTTGTGCGGGCCACTCGGCGTCGTGGAGGGAGCAACGCGCTCCGAGGTCGCCTAGCGATGTCCTACTGCAGGCAAGAAGGTACCGGGGCACGCGGAAGGGCGGGGGGAGGAGGAGAACCAGTTGCAGCGCTCGGTCTTGCTGCGAGCGGAGGCTGCTGCGCCCGATCCCGTGTGAGAGACCCGGCTCTGTTTGGGCGCCTGCAAACTCCAAAGGGCTTTGGGACATGGGTGCTGCCGGAAAGGGATTGTGGAGAGAATATGGCAGCGTTGAGGCTGTATAGTCGTCTGGTCTGAAATGGGGGGAGGGGACGGCACAAAAGATAACAGGCGGAGTGTAACTTTTTTTTTTTGCCCCTGTCAAAATAAAACATCTCTCCCATTTCTATTTACCTATCTCTAAGAAAAGGAGACCTTGATCCATATATACCGCCCCTGTAAGTGAAATAAATAGAAGAGTGCGTAGTTTCGTTGTGTCCTATTCCAAAGGTAGGGCAAGTGACAAATCATTCTAATCTCACATATCACTGTCCCCGGTTAAACCCTGTTTTAGAGGGCTGAGAAACCTAAAATGAATAATGTGCAATAATAATTTAATTTTTAAAATTATCAGTGGTTGGCAAAGACCTTCTTTAAGGTTACTTGTTTAGTAGTTTAATGACACATGTTATTATTTCCTTGTAAAACAGGAGAGCTGCTTTTATTCTGCACCTGACTGTGCCATATTTCTTTTGGTTTTTTCAAGAAGGTGAAAATATATCTCTGAAATATATCCCCAAGAAAATCTGCTGAATGAATTGGGTATTTAAATAAAGGTCCACACCTGGTTGTCAAAAGCCAATTTGAATTTTGAAAATCCTTACAGCCAATGTTCCCTCTAAGCTGTGGAGTCCTGTGAGCAAAAATTCTACTTTGTGAGCTACTGGCCTTAAAGTTGTGAGCAAGTGATTTGGCTCCTGCATACATTAGTTTGCTCTGGAGCCCTCCTTCCTGAGCTAAGGCAGAAATGTGTGAGCTGGAGGCTAAAAAACTGTGAGCTAGCTCACATTTACTCAGCTTAGAGGGAACACTGCTTACAGCATTTCCCAAAGGCACCAACACTTAGGCAAGGGGGGATTGATTTTCCAGTGGTGGTTGGGTTTTGTGAATTCTTGTTCTTGGCTTCTGGTTCCCTTAAGCTAAGTCTAAAATTAGAGCCCGGTATATACTACAATTCTGTTCTAAGGGCATTAGTGGGATAGTACATTTTCCTGTGCTGTTACTGCATTCTATTTCTGCTATAAAAGTAGGTTAGGCTTATGATGGCATCACACATTACATGGTACTTAGATTAATATGGAGCAGGCAGTCTCACCTAGCCCTGGATGCCTGACTTAGGTGCTAGTGAAGATTTGAACTTGGGTGTCTTATGTCCACGGCTAATTCTATTTGTTTATTTAAAATATTTGTATTGCATTAAAGGCTGCTAATGTCTGAGCCCGCCGAAGTACAAGTGTGAATCAGGACCAGAATGAGCGGAATTGTTAAATCAAAAGAAAAAAGCATCACCCATTATACTAAGTGATGTCCACTTGCGAGTAGACCAAAGCATGTCTAAAAAGCTTTGCTTGAGAGAGCTCTTTGCAATATTGGGCCTTTCTCATGCCCTTGGGAAGACCATTCCATAAAACAGGAATAGCTACCAAGAAGGCTTGAACCCAAACAGAAACAGTTCCCACTACTAATAATCCTTGGTGTGTGGATTGGATATTTTTTGGCATATCTAATGTGGTATTGGCAATAAGATGCTGGGCTCTTTATCAATTGATATCATTCGAGAGTGGAGGCTAGTTCTCTTCACTTCACTACAATACAATACTACAATAGTGTATTGTTGTATATGTTACCACAATGTCCAGGATTTCTATTGCTAAAAATTGGAAATCTGATAAGTTGCCAAGTAGGGATGACCTGACTAATATTCTCTATGATGTAATTGAGATGGATAAGCTCAATATGTTTCTGGCGGGTAAAACTGTAGAACAATTTAACTTGAAATGGCAAAAAGCCATAAAATGGTATGAAGAAAGAGGTTGATTTAACCCCCCCCCCAATGTATGAAATTGTAATGTGATGATATGTAAAGTTGAAAACTTAAAATAAATTTATTAAAAAAAAAAAAAGGAGAGTGGAGGCTAGTTCAATTCTTCGCCCTCACAAAATAAAGTGAATGAACTGGTGGCTTTTATTAGCAATAGCTGTCGAGCTGCGCAGTGCTTAACGGATCATTCTGTAGTACTTAATGCATCAGGTGGTATCCTCCTTCATGTGGAAGCATGAATTGCAAGGTGTGTAATTTAAGAGATTATGCTTAAAGGTGCTACTGAGAACAAAGTCTGTAACAATAGATAAATACAGGTAGTAATTATGTCCTAGTAATAAAATTGTAGGGCTTTCTGTAAAGCAGTTTTAAGTGAAAGCGATGAACCATAATGTAAGGCTAAATTCAAGTCACTTAAAGTAAAGCCCTGAGTAGAGTTATACTCATCAAAACCTGTGTACTTAGAATACTGCAGCTCTGTTTAGGAGTGCATTGTTAAAGGTTTGTTAATGCTTTTGTAGGGGGAATGGCTGTTTGAGGCATAGACTTTTACAAACAAAGCAAGCACCATTTATTTTTAAACCAGCAAATATGATTTAACAAGTGGGGGACTGTAAGACTCATGGGGGGAAATCTTATCCCCCCCATTGCTGAGCCCAGTGTGGCTCTAGGCCCCACCACCTATCTTTGAACCCGGCTCTGGCTACGGTGATGACTGGGAACTGGGTCCAGAGTGCCTCCCGGCATCCACTGTGGCCAGGCCCAGAGCAGCTCCCAGAGTCTGGTGCCACCAGCTCTGAAGAATAAAGGGAAGTGTGTTTTCTGGGCATTTTGGGGGGAATTTAGACCCCTCAGTGTATTTTTTTTTTTTAGATTTAATTTTTTTTTAATGTTTCATTTGCTTGCTTCTGTTTCATGATGGTGCAGCTGTGGTCCACAAGTTTAGATATTTGCAGATGAAGGCCACGTTTTGCTATTAGATATATAGATTATTACTTTATCGTTAAACCACTGCATCAAGACTGCACCTGCTTTCACATGTGCCCTAAGTTTGTTGATAGGACCCTTGGCCAAAACTGCCTAAATTTGCTTCAGCTGTGCTTATATTTTTAGGGAGAATTGATGGGTAAAGTAATTTGAAAGTCAAGAATTCCTGGCACTAACAATGGACTTGTTACCTTTCATTGAACGCATGTAGTCAGTAACAGTTCGGCGACTTGTATTCATAGTGCCATAGAACAGTGATGGACATCTTGCTAGCAGGATCTGGCCCCCACCACCAGTAGTTCTCTTTCTGTCCCCTGAAGACCCTATCAAATTTTAATCCATGTTTGTTAAAAGTTTACTCTTGTTTTTATTAACAAGGCAAAAGAAACATGTAAGCTTTAGACTACAGAAATGTAATGCCTGGTCTTTTGAGGAAATGTCCAATCTGTACAGATTTGCTGAAACAAAAATGGTTTTGGTGGAACAGGTAGCACCCCTTCTTACACTGAAACAGAATGGTGGTGGAAAGTGCCAGTCAAGTCACAACTGATTTAGGGCAACCCTGTAGGGTTTTCAAGGCAAGAGACATTTAGAGGTGGTTTGCCTTTCTGCCCCCGTGTCACAACCCTGGTATTCTTCGGAGGCCTCTCACCCAAATACAAGCCAGGGCCAACCCTGCTTAGCTTCCGAGATCTGATGAGATCAGGTTAGCCTAGGCTATCCAGGTAAGGGTTGAAACAGATTATATCCTTTAATTTCCTAAGCCTGTACTATAAACTAGCAGTGGTGGAGCCAGTCAGTAGTAACAGGATCACATTTGGTTGAGACTCAGTGTGGTGTAATGGCTAGAATGTCAGGCTTGAATCTGAGAGACCTGGGTTCTAGCCCCCATCCCCTGCATGCTACCATGAAGTTGATCAGCTGTCCTGGAGCCAGTGACCTCTATCTTTGCCTAACTTACCTCACAAGGTTATTGTGAGGGTAAAATGTGTATGGGGAAAGAACCATGTACACCACGGTTACCTCTTTGGAGGGAAGGCAGGATAAAAATGTAGATGGGTAGACAAAGTCTACTCGTCTTCAGCTTACTCCATAGGCATTATGGACACAAATGTTGGAAAAGTTTACCACATGTACTTCAGTCTCACAACACTTGTGGATTGCATTTTCAATATGCTTCTAATAAAGCACATTTATATAATAGCAAAATGCTTCACTTGACTATCTCAGTTCTTAGAAAAGGCTCGATAAGATGAGCTAGCATTATCCTTTATATTGTATGCAAGAGCTAAAGTTAAGGTACTGATTTGCCTAAGGCCACCTGATGAGTTCTTACTTGAGATGAGATTTGAACCCGGGACTTCCTGGTTCTTATTCAACGTATGGTGTGTGATCTCCATTGTGCTGGGAACAGGCCCTTGCAATGTTCTAACTGGTGATGAGGTTGTTTTTAGCTTTCTTGTTGCTCACTTTGCTTGCTTGGGACAGCTCGCAGGAAACAATAAAACATTCTGCTGCAGTTTTGTCAATTTTGGGTGTATTCTCTAAGAAAAAATGGACTTTTAGGTATTTTAAATACATAAATAAATTGAACTGTAACTTTGCTGGTAGCTTAAATTAATGAATATTATCTGTGTGTAAGGCTATACAAGCCTGGTTAACTTTGAGAAAGCTATATCGCCCTCTTGTTTTTCTTTTAGGCATTTCTTTCTCTGGGATCAGCTTTCTCTTGGAGGGGGGAGGAGATGTTATCAAAATAAAGTGAATCAGTTGTGGTACAGCTCCTATGAAGTGATTAAGATGAAAACCCAGGGGCTGCTCTGTTTCCTGTGGTCTGTGTGGATTATTTTGGGTTAAGCGGTACTTCTGGGGAAACCTTCCCTCAAAAGAAGAGAAGAAGAAGAAGAAGAAAAGAGATTGGATTTATACCCCGCCCTTCACTTGGAGTCTCAGAGCGGCTTACAAACTCTTCCCTTCCCCTCCCCACAACAGACACCCTGTGAGGTGGGTGGGGCTGAGAGAACTCTGACACAAACTGCTCTTTTTCAAGGACAGCTGTGCCAGAGCTTGTGACTGACCCAAGGTCACATCAGCAGGTGCAAGTGGAGGAGTGGGGAATCAAACCCGGTTCTCCCAGATTAGAGTCCGCGCAGTTAACCACTACACCAAACTGGCTCTCTCAAAATGCTGATGCATCTTTTCAGTGTTCTGGGGGTAGACTGGAATTTGTTCTGGGACAGTCTCATTTGCAAGGTCATCCCAGGGCAGCTATTTCATGTGACCATCTTTGGCATGCTGTGACTCTTCACTGGAAAATCAAAGCAAATTGATTTACAATAGAAGTTCAATTACCTTGTTGCCATCTTCAGCTCATTACTATTTTTTCCTGGGTTTTGTCGACTAATGAGATTAATTGATCTCTTGACTCCTTCATACCATCTTTTCATGCATCTGCGGGCAGTAATCTGCCTAGCCTCAATCATCGCTTTCTTCAGAATAAACACAGTCTGCTTCTCTGTCTTCCCTTGGAGTTCTTGATCAAAGGTTTGGAAAAGAGAACATTTGTGTTTAATTTCTGGAGGCTTTTTCAGTTCACGTTAACCAAACATTATGCCCAGGCCAATACACGGCTTTGATTGAACATCTCCATCCAAAAACAGATGCATTCTTTTCAAGCCCTGAATAGGTTCAAAGGCTTGTGCTGGGCAACAGCTTTGAACATCCTCTTTTATCTGGACCTAATACTCCTCTGAACTTTCTCTCTCTCTCTCTTTTTTTTTTACATTTTAGGAAAGGACAGAATTATATTTGTGACCAAAGAGGATCATGAGACACCAAGCAATGCTGAACTGGTAGCAGATGATCCCGATGACCCTTATGAGGATCAAGGTCAGTAATATTCGAGACTGACAGGCTTACGGAAGATGTCTCAATGCACATTTGGTTTCCTGCATTGTTGAAGTCAAAGGATTCGGGATGGAAGCTACACATATATTTTCGTTTTAATTTGAATTTATTATGTTGGTTATGTACCCCTTTGGTCTGATCAAAATAATTGAGCCCAGTGAAGCTGGTGACTTAAATCAACCTTCAAAACTCACGAAGAGCACAAGCACTTTTGTCTCTTCTTTGCCACTTATTTGACTAATCTGGGTGCTTGGATAGGCCTTACTTTCTGAAATAGGATAGGCCTTACTTTCTGAAATGTGGTAAAAACATGCAAAAGCAGTACTCATTGACCAGTGTATCAGTCTGTGATTGGGTGACAGGTGATCTCTAACAGCTTACCTGTTGTGCTCACTGACTGCAAAATTCTGTTCACAGAAGACAATCCCACCCTCCTCCCCGCAAGGAATGCAGATTTTAGGGCATACAGGGATAATGTATTGGTGTTAAGGAGGGCTATGCCATAAGTAAACCCAATAGGCAAACTAGAATCAATGAATCTTGTTGGGCTGCTAGAATTTTTTTTTTGTCATGTTAGAATAATGTGCTCAGCCTGGCAAACTAACTCTCCCACAAGCTCTTCCTGAACAGCTGTTGCTCTGTGACCTTAATTAGGAGGTCAGCTTGTAGTTTTTTTGTTTGGTGGTAGCTGAAAGTGGCTGACGGGTCAGGTTGTTCTTCTTGCCTCTGCGGCACAGGGGGATTTTGTGGCAGTGTGTTTGTTTGGAAAGGTGGGGTTAGTTGGCTCCCACCACCTATGGGTCTCCCGAACAATGTCTGAGGCCAAGTTGATTATTCCCTTTTTTCCGTGTACTTGCTGGGTATGGTTATAATCATTACATGTTCTTGATACTTGGAAATCAGAGTGCCAGTTTCAGACTCACTGGCTTCCTTGTTTTTCTAGGAAATACTTCTGTGATATTCATAATATTTGGAATGTATAAGGTATAACTTGGATGACCCTGAGTGTGTTTGGACATCACTTCTCCCTCTCTTCATATCCCATCCACCTTTTAAGTGCAGTGAGGAGAGATCTCAAGCCTTAATCACTCATACTCCTCTACTCACTTTACCGTGTGTAAAGGTTGACACGCAAACTGGGACATCCTGTATCTAGTGAGGATGGGATCTCTTCTAACCCCAGAGATCAGCTCGAAGAAGCAATGCCAGTTATTATGATGAGAGGTAATTGTACCTTTAATAACCACTTCGGGGTAGTCAGTAGATGCAGTGTTTGAACCAAACTGGATAGTAGGTTGTATCTGGCCATTTGCGGACTTTATGGAACAGGACTTGCTCCTCCTCCTGCAGAAACATTCCCCAAGCCTCCTAACATCTTGTTGCTGGGGGTTGGCAGACCCCCAGGAGCAGCACAGAGGGTAAAGTGGGGTCCCGCAGTGGGTGGGTGGGGGGGTAGTCAGTAGATGCAGTGTTTGAACCAAACTGGATAGTAGGTTGTATCTGGACATTTGCGGACTTTATGGAACAGGACTCCAATGTGACTGGGGCCATAGATTGTTGCAAACTCATTTGGTTCTGAAACTAGAGAGTGGTAGTTTGTCTTAAGAAGGAACTGTTTAGTTGCAAGAGAAGGTTCTTAGGACATATCAAGAAAAGTGAATACTTTGGCTGTTTCCTTCCAGCTGACTAGGCAAAGGCATACTACTGATAGATCAAGGTGGGCTGCCGTGTTGGTCTGAATCAATAGAACAAACTTAGAATCCAGTAGCACCTTTCAGACCAACAAAGGTTTATTCAAGATGTGAGCTTTTGTGTGGATGCACACTTCGTCAGACAATGAAATGGAATTACATATCATAGTTGTATATATAGGTGCCTTGTAGAATTAGCATGCAAAATAGTGAAAATATATTTTTAAACAGGTCAAAAGAATGACAAGCTGGTTTCTGGTTATAATCTGTTTCGGTTTAACCTGGGGGGGGACAACATAGGTAATAAATATGTTAGAACTGGAGAGTGATGTGTCCTAATTTGTGAGAATCCCGTCCTTAGACTCCCATTCATCTCCTTTCTAGCATGGAGGTGAACTTTACAGCATCTTGGCTGTGCAGAGTATATACTACTGATTGTTTGCTTATGAGGTGTACCCTTGCTGGTGTGCAGGTTAAAGAACATGAGTACTCACGTGACGTCCATTGCCATGTGAATAGTCTTTTTCGTATTTTAGAATTCTTGACTTACTGTAATTGTAAGCTGGATTCCATTCCCAGCTCTCTACAGTAGGCCTCATGTGTACCTTTGTTGAACTTGGTGACAGCGTGTGGCTGTATTCTCTTTGTTTCCCAGTCAACACTTTTGGCTGCCTCACCTAAAAGAGGAGACCATCCGCTTGCCTTTGCAGATGCTCAGACAGTGTTGGTTGATTTCTGGTGTAGGCTTGTGTTGGCAGAGCTGCAGAACACTTGATGATGCCAGGTGTACAGCATGCTTAACATCAGGACCAGAATGAGCGGAATTGTTAAATCAGGTGATGGTGGTTGTGGAAAGTGCTTCCAAGTCACACCGGACTTACGGCAACCCCGTATGGTTTTCAAGGAAAGAGACTTTCAGAGGTGTTTTGCCCTGCCTGCCTCTGCACAGTGACCTTGGTATTCCTTGGTGGTCTCTCATCTAAATACTAACCAGGGCTGACCCTGCTTAGCTTCTGAGATCTGACGAGGTTGGAGTAGCCTGGGCCATCCAGGTCACAATTAGCATTAAAATTTAACAATGCTAAAATCAGCCCAAGATGTCAAGTGAGGCAGTTCCTGTTGAAAGCTACCACTGTATCCTGTATAAGATTGTTTTTGTGCTGTGTTACCCTCAATGTTTAGCAGTACACTCTCCCTGTATTCCAGTTTGAACAACTAATTTTAATTTGGACGATGGGTCACCTTTGTTACAAAAGTGCAGTCTGAGATCTGCATTTGGCTTTTATCTCTAGGGGGCAGCATTCGCACACTTGGAAAGCTGTATTTGAAGTTTGCACATGCCTTCAGCGTGTGATCCCATTTAAAATATGTCTTTTGAGAATGGATTTAATTAGTGGCAGTCAGTTACTGTAAGAGCCCGGCAATGGAAACCAACAATCCTGCTTGTTCTTCCATAGTCAGGGGCTGTATCAGGTGTTTATGAAATATTCCTTATTTTGCAAGCAGCATAGAGTCCACTGAAACTCCCGTTACAGTCAAAAATGACATGCAAGATCACCACTTAGCAATAGCTGTATTCTTCAGTCTTGCAACTAAGGGAAGAAGATTTACTAGTCTACAATTTTATCACTCCTGCCTTGATGCCCTCTTCTCCATGGTATATCAGCTGCAGTCTTTCAGTTTACAAAAGCTTCCCTAGCTGCAAGCAGTCAAAGGCAACATTTTACAAGCCTGCCTGTACTTTGCTATTAGACATAGTTAATTTTTGCACATCCATTTCCTTCTGACAAGTAGGTGTGCATCTGGGTTGCTTAAACATGGAAGTGATTTAAACATAATCTGGTGACCTGACCCAACATAACATAAGTCTTTGATTTCTCTTGTTCATTTGAATTAATTATGCTGTATCTAATGTAGGAAAAGAGTTGTGGTGGCTCAAGTGGTTAAGACGCTGGACTGCAGGTTGTGGAAGGTCGGTAGTTCAGCAGTTCGAGACCCGAGTGTGCCGCATGACAGAGTGAGCTCCTGTCTCTAGTTCCAGCTCTTGCCAACCTAGCAGTTCAAAAGCAAGAAATTGCAAGTAGATAAATATAGGTACCGCTTTGGTGGGAAGGTAACAGCGTTCCGTGCACCTTGGGGTTTAGTCATGCCGGCCACATGACCACGGAAACGTCTTCGGACAGCGCTGGCTCTTCGGCTTTGAAACGGAGATGAGCACCGCAACCCTAGAGTCGGATTCGACTGGCTTTCGAGCAAGGGAACCTTTACCTTTACCTTTTAATGTAGGAAAAGGTCTTTGTGTAAGTGGTGGCAGAAGCTTTTTAATTTCATCAGTGGCTTTTTGTCAAAATCAAAAACCTGCAGTATGACCTAGTTCAGTCTATGTTTTCCCCTTTTAGGAACATGTTTTCAGGAAGCACACAGTTAACCTGCTTTAATTGAATTGGATCAGTGAATAGGCAGTTTAATGTAAATCTTAAGTGTTGGCCTGGTCCTGCACTGTGTTGAACTTACAGGAAATTAGTTCAGTCGTGCAGATGGGATAAACCACTCTTAACATCCCTCTTATCTGCTGTTAATTCACCAGCTTTTCTTTTTCCCTCCTTAGGTTTGATATTGCCCAGTGGAGATATCAACTGGAATTGTCCTTGTCTGGGTGGAATGGCTAGTGGCCCTTGTGGGGAACAATTCAAGTCGGCTTTTTCCTGCTTCCATTATAGCAAGGAAGACATAAAGGGGTCAGATTGTGTGGACCAGTTTCGTGGCATGCAGGAGTGCATGCAGAAATATCCTGATCTCTATCCTCAGGAGGAAGATGATGAGGAAGAAGGAGAAAAGCAGGACAAAGATTTAGAAACTACTCCTATAGCCAAAGCGGAGGTGGGAACTAGCTAATGAAGCTGCGTGGAGGCTGTGGTCTCCCTTCCACATTCAAAAAGACACATGAACTTATGCAAATCACCTTCTTTTCCCCTCCACTCTTCCTTTCTCACCCCACTTTCCTCCTTATTCTTCAAAATGCCGTTCACCTCTGTCCTGCACACTGTATTGCGAAATAACTTACTGAAGCGGAGGACAAAGTCAGTCCTATGGTGTTACTGAGTAAACGCTGTAGAGAGGTTAAGTATGCCTACCCATAGTGAAGCCACTAATTTAACAATTATTTTCTACTCCAGTCATGCTCCTCTTGCAGCTTATCCTGTAAAAGATCAGTAGAGACGTCCTACAGTAAACGAGGGAATGGGGAAGAGAATTTGTTGCTAAGGATTTAGGGTCAGTGTTTGATTTCATTAAATTTCAGTGATTACTAAAAATGGAATGAAATGCTTTCTTAAGATCACCAGAGGCATACGCTGTTGAGCCTTGGTGTTGTTTTCAGCTGAACAATCTCCGTGCTTCAGGGCCATATGCAGTTTGCATAAACTACTGATTTCTAGTAAATGAAAGTTAGTATAGGGATTGGGGGGGGAGTCAGATTTTCGCTTTTTTTACAATTTGTGTTGATCAGCTCCTCATGTAACTGAATTGACAAGAAAGTGCTGACCACTGTGTTCCTTAATGTTCCTGGCTTGCGGGATTCCTTGTAGTCTGTCCCATCTTCAGACAGGCTGATAAAAATATATGCCCTTGATAGGAAAACTATAATGTTACCTGGAGTAACAGCCTCTGAGACTGAGTATACTGTGACCAAGTATACATTAAAAAAGTAGACTCTTTCTACCTTGAACAGAAATCCTTGTGTCCTGTTATTAATGATGGATGATGGACTGTGTGGTATGAGATGATACCGTAGTTAAGTTTCTTCTTCAGCTAAAAATACACACATGCACATATGTGCCGTCTGTCCTGAGAAAAAATGGCAGTCCTCACTGGCCAGCTGATCACAAAATAGCTGCTTTTAGCTTTCAGAAATCTGTAGTGCCTGGATTAATGTGTGTGGCTAGAATTTTGGATGAGATAATTGACTACATCAGGAGTCCCCAACCTTTGGAGCCTGAGGTACATGTGGAATTCTGAAATCGCATGGTGGCTGCAGCAACAAAATGGCCACTGTAGGAGGCAGAGCCAACCACAAAATTATTGCCATAGCTTTACCTTCAGTAGCATACATAGATCCTCGTGCTGTGGTGGTGGCTGCTGCAGCCAACACCAAAACAACATTTATAAAAAATCTGCACAGCCAATCAGAAGACTTGCTGGGGCAAAAGCCCTACCTGGCCCCACCCACTTTCTAAAAACACTTGGCAGGCACCTGAAAAAGTGTTGGTGGGTGCCACATTGAGGACCCCTGGACTACATCCTGCCCATGTAGCTAGTCCCTGCAACATCCTGCCCATGTAGCTAGTCCCTGTTTCTGTTTCTGCAGACCCTTTTTGCTCTATAGGAAGTTATGGGGCTGCCATCTGCAGCATGACTTGCACCATTCTAGAAACACTGTTAGTGCATTCTGTTTCATGACAAATTTCTCCTTGCTGCTTCAAGGACTTTTCCTGCATTTTGCTTTAGTGTTGATGCTCTGACCTAGGTTACCTTGGCAGACATGGCAATTAAACCGTCTTGGGGATGTAGATGGTTTGTAGCAAAATGACTCTGAAAAACATGTAAGGTGTAAAATATGGTGGAATAAGTTTAGCTTGCTTACATTCTGTTGAATACATATATATTTTGTCTGGACAACAGCCAGTATCGGAGGCTAAAAGAAGGCTGATAGGCATTGTTCTACTCCCCGAAATCTGTTCCAAAGTTTCAAAGGACTATGAATATCTGGGAAAGAGACTTTATTATCCCCCTCCCCAATAAACATAAATGCTTGTGTGCTGTAGATGATCCCATCCTTCATACATTTGTCTCATCTTTTTAGGAATCAGTTCTTGTACTATAGGTACTCTTAGGTCAGTTTGTGGAAACTGTATTACTGAACTGTGTCTTGTGAGTTAATCAAGTGTTACTCTATTGAGTTCTTTTAAGAAAAAGAGCAAACAGTTGTTAACTCCTGCACTGTTTACAGTGCTAATCAGTACTTTCAATGTGTGAAGTGTGTTACAAACCTTGACATGAAGTAATCATTCTTGTTTTACTAGAAGGGATGGCCAAGATAACATGGTTCAAGGTCACCCAAAGAGGGTCCAAATGGCATTAAAATCCAGTTTTACAGGTCCATATTGCTTTTTGTCTCTATTCTAGCCTTAGTTGCAATCAAAATTGAACAACAATCCATAGTTGGAGGTTGACCCTACTTGAAAGTTGAAAACCCTGCCTGCTGACTGCTAGAAATCAAACATGGGGGCTTGTTATGTTCCCAGCTATGTAATAACCCATAGAAGTGCCTAAACCTGCAGCAGCTGGAGGATTTGGTTAATCTTAATATCTTCGGGGTGTGTGTGACATTTTGGAAAGCTAGTCAGTCCTGGGAGGTGTATGGCATTTAAAAACTGTGGCATGTTGGGTTTGGATTGATACATTGAGCTTGTTTTTTGTATTTGACACTTGATTCTAGCATGCTCGGAAGTAAAACTGAATCAATACCTATTGTCTCTGACATAAACCACTTTACCTTGGTGCTCACTGGTATCCCTTAAAATAAATGTATTTTTAAAGTGGTATTAATGAACTTCAGCTGTCAGTAATGTGTCAGCACTCGTCTCTTCAGCTGGCTGCACAAGGATATGAAGCTATAATGTACAGTTGTAGGCAAGCCTCGTGTTTTCCTTCTTCCAGGCACTTTTTTCCAAGTGCCATCTGATATCTTCCGTTAGCTTTTCATTCTCCATCTGTGGCTGAACAACCAGCTGTCTGTTATCAGTTCACTCTTGAGATGGATGGCAGCCATTTTGAGAGCATATTCTTACCTAACAGTGTGAGAAGGCTTCCTAGACTGTGAACAGAGTGGTCAACAAAACAGGTGTCTAAAGTGCTGAAGTGGTAAACATTGGTGCCTAAGCAGGTGAACCATGTGGATGGGAGTCTTGGCTGACCATATCAAAAACAGACCACTTGTTAAAAATGGGTCTACCTGAAACACCACTTGTAGGCTATTGAGGACAACTTATTCCATGAAGCACCTCTTGAAATGGTGGCGGCTTGTGTGGCGTGTTAGTCTTGGTTTTTACTTTTTCTTTGTGTAATAGTAATCCCCTCTTTTTGCCTTGCTTTTATAGTGAGGATTTATTATATAGAATAATATTAGCAGAATCTGGGTACTAATAGGCATCTTCATATGTTACAGCAGTGGTGTGGGAGCTGCTTTTTTGTGGGTTTATCCAGTATGCTGGTTTATCCAATTTTGATTGCATATTACAGGAACATGGCATGATGAGCCCACAGAAAAGCAATTGCCCAACAGTTTTGTAACTTAAATGTTGCTGCAGTTAGTGTATCTGAATGTATGATAGTACAACCCTAATTGTGGCCACTGGGCTCAGAAGGGTGTAACTCTGCTTAGGATGTCCTATTACTGCCCCCCCCCCCATGTCAGGATATGACTGCAGGCCCAGCAAGTGATGTGGTGGATACAGAAAATTTCCTCAGTACTATGTAACTTCTGGACATCAGGTACAGTGGATAAAATTTCCATTTGTACCAAGTCAAACAGATCCCAACTTGCATTTCCACTTGCACGAATTCTTCTGCAACCAATTTTGGGGGCACTACAGGACATAGGGAGGAAAGCGCTAGGTGTTGCATAAAATCTTCAGCAAGTGGAACTGTGTTGCATTGGTTCATATTTCCGCTTGTACATTGCTGGGTTCAAGCCGTTATCAGCTTTGAAGAAATTTATTTTCAACTTATAGTAAGCCATCAATGGTATTTGTTTAGATGGGATGTATATTGAATATATGTAACCCCTGTAGTTGTAAATCTTGTCTTTTCAGGGCTGCTATCCTCTCTTGTTTCCCATTCTGTGTAGTGTGAGCAGAGATAGCATTCTCCTAGTCCAAAAGCACTTGAAACAACAGTATCAATATCTTAGTTTACTTTTAAAATAAGAGTACAAAAAACATGGCTGGTAGTGTGTTATCATTTTTTGAGCAATTTACAAAAGTGGATAGTGTTTGATCCAGCAAGTCCCCGCTCTCCTCTGGTTTCCTGTGGAGCACGAATGTTCCTGCTTATATAAGAAGTGTCATCATTTCTTCTGTTGATGATCCAAAATATAGTATCAATCACCTGTACAATCCTCAAAAGTGGAACTTCCAAAAATTCCTTTATATGAACGGACAGCCTTGGCTTCAGCAAGATTTAGCTAATCTTTATGGGACTGAACATTCCTGGTCAGAAGAAAACATGAGCAAGTTGTGTTACATTCAGGCAATATAATATACATGTAGAGTTTACAACAGACAGTGCATCCCATTTGACTAACGTTTTAATGAGTACTCTTGAGCATCTACTCAGATCATCTGAAAGGAAAGGTCAATAGTGTACCAAAGAGCTAAGCCTGTTGTAAATTGAGGTGTTAGCCATGTTTTTAACATCACACACTGTTCTCTTAAGACAAAGCCTAGCCCTTTCTTCCTTGTTTTTAGGTTAGTGTAAATTCATTTGTTTTGCAACAACTCAGTGGTATTCAAAGCAATCCTCGTTGGCTCTAGGATGAATAATGTGATGCCTATGAATGGGAGACTTCCACATAACAGTGTGTTTGATGTCTATAATGGGCCTTGGCCAAAGCTCTGGAATACTAGTCTTTGTCTTGCATTGACGGACAGGCTTCCATCATCATTCAAGTAAGGCCTAAGATTTGTATTGCTTCATGGTGCCGTTCAAATAAAATCGCTGCACATGATTTCTTAGGGTGTGCCAGAAGTGTTACATTCAAACCATTGTAAAAAATGCATTCACTGTCTTTAGCACAGATCCGGATTGTGGTGGTGAGGTGGGATTTCTGGTTTGTACCTGAAGTTGGCTAAGCGCAAAGCTTGATTGGCTGGAATAGCTGTGACGTTACAAACACTTTCTCCTACTCAAAGCAGGTTTTAACCATTTTAAAGCCAGTTTTGTTTTCTTTTTAAAGACGGTATTACACATATATTAAATATACATAGATTACTCTGTTTTTTTTAAAAAAAAGAAAATGCCAGACAGTTTTGCAGAGGAAGACAGGGCAGGGGAAGAGCCAGGCTTGAGGTATAGGGGAAGAAACTGCAGGAGGTCCTGACTGGGATGGCACTTAGGTCTCTCCCAGGTCTCTTCTAGTAAATGACCATGTCCTGTTCATACCGTTGTAAGCTTTCTTCATCAAAGATCACATAAATATTTTTTAACCACAGCTGTGCTCTGTGGAATACTGAAACTGTACAAGTAGCTGCTGAGGAGCTCACTTTCCCTCTTCTTCAGTATCGTTTTCCCTGTTTGCCTGATTGGTACGGAAGTAGAGTGCTACTCACTGATCATCTGTTAATGCTGCAGAAGAATAAAAGCAGTGGGACAAGGTGTTAGTGCTTCTCCAAGGTGAATACTTTTGGGATCTTCAGGACCCTGGACAACAGTAATCAGTTACAGGCTGCAGCAGCAGATGACTGCAACCATGGAAGTGGCGATGAATATCTTTACAGGAAAAGACTACGAAAGGATCTGATAACAATTGAATCAGAGATTATCTTGGAAAGGGAAGGTCATGTTGACCCTGTGGCTGTCCCTAACGGTAGCAAATGTTTCCCTTCGG